CCTTGCCACCCCCCCCCCGCTTCGGTACCATTTTCCAGGCAGTGGCAAGGGTGGGTGATAGGATTCCAGAGCTGGGAGCAAAAGGATTAATAAATAAACGAGGAGCGGACATGGGAAAGGGCTGGGCGGGATGTGCGGAGGCAGCGGGGACTGTTCGCCTTCCAGGGGGTTATTCTTGGCAGCTGCTGGGCCCTGGGGGGGACATAGGGTTGGAGTGGGGTGACAGGGGCTGCACAGCTTCCCTGCCATCCCTGCCCTTCCCAAGGGATTGGCCTGAACAGTGGTGGGGTGGGATGGCTGGAGCCAGCACCTCTGGCCTGGGGAACCAAGCACATGGGGACACATGGCCCACAGGCAGTGATGAACAGGGTGCTTGAGGACACAAAGTCCATGGACAGACCATGCCTGGGGTACTTGGAGACACATGGCCCCATCAGCAGCCATACACAGGGTGCCTGGGGACACCCAGAGGGATACATGTCTCCAGAGACATCGATGCACAGGCTGCTTGGGGGGACACAGCCCCACAGGCAGTGATGCACAAGGTGCTTGGGGACACCCAGGGTGCCCAGAGACACCCAGCCCTCAGCAGCACTGCCCAGAAGACAGGGCCAGTGGCTGAAGGCCACGGGACAGCAGAGTCAGGCATGGTGGCCAAGCACAACATCTGTCTGCAGCTGCAGGGCTGTCGGCAGACGCTCAGGTCACTGGCCAACACCCACTGCACATGAAAGGGCCCATTGATGGTGGTGACACAGGGTGGGGGGGCCTGGCTCTCACCTCCACGCCCTGTGGGGGCCTCAGGCTGCTGGCTGCTCCCCAGAGGCACCTGGGAGGAGGTGGGGAGACTGCGCCTCAGTTTCCCCACCAGCCCAGCAACACTGGGAAGAAGCAATGCCAGAAGTGGAGGGGTTGGTCCCCCACCTCTGAGGCTGCATCCAGGGACACTTCCCAAAAATCCACTTCTGTAGACCTCAGCTGTCCTCTCTGAGCACAGCCATGCTCTCCAGAGGCTCCTTGTTCCATCTTCCCCCCCCCGCAGCGCATTTTACCAGCATGGTATGAATTTAATCGTGACATATTTATAGGTGCTGCCAGGATTATCGTGACAGTTTCGTACAGACTCACCCACAAAACTTTTTACAGAGCCCAGACAATCGTGGACACCGTGCAAAACTCAATCCTTCTTCCCAAACTTCTCCCTCCAGAGAAGGCACGTAATGAACAGCCCAGGAATGAGACATAATCGAAAAGCAAACACAACCAGGGGGCTGTTCTCACTGTGTGCTAAAGGCACCGACCGCAGCACATGGAGGCTGCAACATCAGCCCAGGGATTCAAGGCTACAACCAACCCCTTTCCCTAGAATAAATATAATTTTCTTTATCGACCTGAAGTCAATTCTACTTCCTTCCACCCACGTCCCTGAAAAACAACAAAAAAATAAGAGATGTATGTGCAGACATACAGATCTTCTCCCCTTCAGAAGTTGTCCATGGTCAGGCTGCTGAGATAACAAACCAGGTTCTGAAGAAATGGAGTCAGAGTTCACTTTTTTTGGTGGGTTTTTTTTGGCATTCTTAGCAATGGTGACATATTAAGACATCCCAAACCACTTCATGATTGAGAAAGGAGAGAGACTTTATTTACATAAAGTCATCTGAATCGTTGCCATCCTGTGGGAAGAAAGACAAATCAGGATCGTTGTGCAAAGGAAAACGGAAAGTGGTAAAAAAGCAGGATTGCAGAATTGCCATTTATTCTGGTTTCCTGCCATTTCAGCCCAAACATCATAAAATCAGACCAAACTGAGACATCACAACAGCTCCAGGGTGGGAACAGCCCCAGGGAGGGTGATTTGAAGCAGCAGTGGCTGTTTGCTGTCCCTGCTGTGTATCGTGCCCCTGACACTGCAGCTCATCTGCTGCCACCTGGGAGGAACCAGAGACCAAGATACAACCAGCAGCTTCATGGGACCACCTCATTCACAAATTCAGCTGCTTTCCATGAAGGAAAGCAGTTTGGCATCATCGAGGGTCAGGTGCTGAGAAGAAGAGACCCCTTGTCCAGCACTTCCACCACACAGACGTCACTAAAGGGGCTCAGTCTGCTTATGTATGTGATGATACACTCCTGCTTCTTAGAATCATGGAACGGTTTGGGTCAAAAGGGACCTTAAAGCTCATCTAGTCCCAACTCCCTGCCATGGGCAGGGACACCTCCCACCAGACCAGGTTGCTCCAAGGCCCATCCAACCTGCCCTTCAACACTGCCATGGATGGGGCAGCCACAGCTGCTCTGGGCAACCTGGGCCAGCGTCTCACCACCCTCACAGCAAAGAATTTCTTTCTAAAATCGCATCTCAATCTCCCCTCTTGCAGCTTGAAACTGTTCTCCCTTGTCCCATCACTCCCTGCCCTTGTCAAAAGTCCCTCCCCAGCTTTCCTGTAGCCCCCTCAGGTTCTGGAAGGTGCTCTAAGGTCTCCCTGGAGCCGCCTTCTTTCCAGGCTGAACAATCCCAGCTCTCCCAGCCTGTCTCAAGAGCCAAGGTGCTCCAGCTCTCTCCTACTTCAACCCAGTTCAAGTTTCAAAGAATCTGCATGACAGCCAGGAGGAAAATCAGCAATTCCTGAAAACCACATGGTCCTCTGAGCAGTTAGTCATGGGCTGGGGATGCAAAAGGTGGATTTTAAACTGAGGGTCACATTTTAAATACTTAAAGTGGCCTAGAAAAAAGATGGGTACAGACTTTAAAGCAGTGCCTGTACTGACAGGACAAGGGGTCATGATTTTAATCTGGAAGAGAGGTGATTCAGATCAGATGGAATGAAGAAATTGTTTGCACTAAGGGTGGTGAGACACTGGCCCAGGTTCTCCAGAGAGGTAATAGGTGCCCCATTTCTGGAAACCCTCCAGGTCAGGTTGGACAGGGCTCTAAGCAACTTGATGTGATTGAAGATGTCCCTCCTCACTTGAGTGGGTCGATACTAGATGGCTTTGAAAGGTCTCTTCCAAACCAAACCATTTTGTGATTCTATGATTCAAACATCTGACAAGGAAAGTCAAGTCCTGTGCCCCAATCCAAGCTCTAGCTGTCCTGTCACTAGGGTGGGAAGGGGACCAGGAAGACATGGCACACGTTTCCAGCAGCACAAACTCCTCCTGGCTGACACACAAACCACAGGACGCTCTCAGAAAGTGGAGGAGAGTCACTATGTCCTTTCTCAAGAAGGGGTGACTGAGATGTGCTCTGTATTGCAGGCGTCACCAGAACCAAGACTGCAATGCGGGAGCTGCCCCATCACTCTCCCATATTGAATTTCAGCCATCTCTGAAAGGTTTTTGTGAGCATCAGCTGGCTCTTACCTGATTGGAGGACATGTTCTCAGCCTTCATTAACGACGAGTAGCTCCTGGAAGAGGAATTACATTATCTTGCATGATCCGTTTTAAAAATCCCCCAAAAGAGGCATTTTAATAAAACAGGATGAGGGAGGCTGGAGCAGTATTTGTTTATCTCATATTCTTTGGCTAATTAAATGAGCCAGACAAAGCCCAGGCTCTATGTAGACTCCTTCACATTTTTGTTCCAGAACTACCAGCTAGATCATCCCAGGAGGTGGAAAATCCTTTACTTTGGGGGACAGCCAAGAGGCAGCTCTGGGACAAGGTTAAATAAGCAGGGCAGGCCCCTCGCTCTGCAGCACAGACATGCAGACTGGTGACTTCTCCTCCATTTAGTTCACTTCTCCAAGCTCTCTTTTCTGACCCTATGTGTGTTGAATCACTCATAAAATCCCAGAGTTTTTAAAATTCTGGTTTTATTTGCAGAAAACAGGACTAAAGCTTAAAAGTGAGCTTTTGGGGTCAGCCAGCAGATATGTCCAGTGCATGGAGCCATCAAGCTCACACACGTTGCAGTGTGGAGGGAATGGTCAATCCAATGTTTTCAAACCACATCCCTCATTCCATGTTTAAAGGAGCATGCAACTGAGGATTCACACGTTTTCCTTAACACCAGTGATGCAGGATGACGCTGAAGAACTCAAAAGAAGGCTCAGTGCTTCCTGAGGTTGGCATAAAGCTGGAAGCAATTGCTCCCATCCCAAGGATGAAGAGAGCCAAGTGGCTTGCCCAATTTCACCCAAGTTGTGGGGTATGAAGAATGGGTATGAAGTAGCACAGTCGTTTCTTTTAACAATGGTTAAACAGCCAGGTTTATTTTAGGATAAAGGGGGAAAACTCATTAATTGTAAAGACAAAGGAAATCACTGGGCTGTGGCAGAGCAGGTCAGCTGAACACTGAGTAAGGCTGGGATGTCTATTCAACAGAAACTGCTGACCCATGACTCTCCTCCAGTGCCAGTGAAAGCTGTGGACATTAAATTTATAACTCACCTAAGTTCTTCCAGCTCTTTCTTCTTCTTCATCTCTTCTTTCTCCTTCCGCTTCATCTCTTGGATTTGGGCTTTTTTCTCATTTCTCTCCTCTCTGTCCCTGGCTTCCTTCTCAGCAGCCAGGTCAGGGAAACGCTCCACTTTTGTCTTCTCTAGCCGGTTCAGGATCTCATTCACCTTCTTCTCCACTGTCAGCATTTTCACCTTTGGAGTGCAAAGAACTGTGATCCTTATAAAAAAATACTTTTATTCTGGCACTTTCTCCACAGAAAGAAAACATCCTATTTCTACTTTACACATGGCTGAATCCCACAAAAACAGATGTGAAGGAAAAATTGGTGCCACTGAGGCCAATTCAGCAGGTTGTGTAAGAGCAGAGAGGCCTGACACAACTAAATAAGCACATGCACTGCGAAAGAAACGAGCATTACCAATTGCATGTCTTGGCACATGCCTCAGCAAAGAGGCCAACAGACAAGAACTGGTTTTTGCCGATTCCTGAAGAGGCGGCAGGAGGTCTGTGCAGATCGTTTTGGGAAGACAAGCTCACATTGCTGCCTGTTGACTGCAGGGTTTTTAGTATTTCTTGCTGTGGTACAGATCTGGTTTAGTCAAACAACTGGATCCAGTTGGTCTGGGTCCAGTGCTGGGGTCCCCAGCACAAGGACATGGAGCTGTTGGAGCAAGTCCAAAGGAAGCCATGGAGATGATCCGAGGGTAAGGGCAGCTCTGCTCTGGAGACAGGCTGAGAGAGTTGGGGTTGTTCAGCCTGAAGAGAAGGCTCCAGGGAGACCTTAGAGCACCTTCCAGGACCTGAAGGGGCTACAGGAAAGCAGGGGAGGGACTTTTGACAAGGGCAGGGAGTGATGGGATGGGGGGCAATGGTCTCAAGCTGCAAGAGGGGAGATTTACATGAGACCTTAGGCAGAAATTCTTTGCTGTGAGAGTAGCGAGACACTGGCCCAGGTTACCCAGAGCAGCTGTGGCTGCCCCATCCCTTGCAGTGTTGAAGGCCAGGTTGGATGGGCCTTGGAGCTACTTGGTCTAGTGGGAGGTGTTTCTGGGACTAGATGAGCTCTAAGGTCCCTTCCAACCCAAACCAGTCTGAGATTTGATGACTCTCGTGATTCTACGAATTGCATCTCTAGAGCCTTCTCTCCCACCAGCCAAGCTACTTAACCAAAATGTAGGTATATTATTATGTGGAGACACTCGGTCAGGCTTGGGAATAGGTTATGACACTGGCTTCATCCTACAGCAGAGCCATGCAGCTCTGCCTTTTAACAGGACTAAGAAATCCAGAGGCAGCACCAGGGTGACACTGCTCTCTGAGTGGAGGTGGGAGAGTGAATACAGTGGCAGACACCTTCAGGACCCCACACAGCCCCTCTCTGCACAGCAAGTCCAAGTTCTGACCCCTTCCAGATGTGTGAATGCAGTACAGGCAAGTCCAAACACATCCCTGGGACCTCTACCATGCTTCAGCAGTGGATGATTCCTTGGCTTTAGGGCAAATGCTGAAGACAACCCACCCAGCTAACACGGAAATGTTCCAGCCTGCCAGCAGGTTTGCAGCAAACACTTACATCCTTCTGCCTGTGAAAGCCAATCTGTCCCACATCCATGTCTGCTGTCTTCTTCAGGTTTGTCCATGGTGTGTACACCACGTTGACGTTGTTCATCTTGCAACCTAGATAGCAGAGGAGAAAGCAAGAAAGCAAGGAGGAAAGGAGGAAAACGTTTCAATTCTCTACTGAAAGAAGTCTCAGTGTCTCCCATGCACATGGAAATGGGCAGTTATTCTAGTCACAGACACAGCCAACTAGGCAAGAAAGAAGGCAAGGGAGAAGACCTTCCAGTGTTTCAGTGAAAGGGAAGAACACCCTGACATCACTTTCTGCAGTAACACGAGCGCTGCGGCAGCGTTAACCAGCTCCAGATGGGGACTTGTCTTTGCCAGGAGATTGCTATGGAAGGGGCCCCAAGGTTGTGTTAGAGAAGAGGCTGCAAGGCCTGCTTGGCTCAGGCAGCCAGAGAGGCACAAACAAGAATTTCAGAGGTTTAAAATTCCTCCTCATTCCGTTATACTTTTGTAACAGGCAGCCCTAGCAGCTGCAAGTGACATCTGCTTCCCGTAAGACCTGCAGGCACAGACTTGACAGAGAGCACCATGGCAGAAACATCACAAAGGTTTGACCCAAAAAACTCATGTGGACTAGAAACACTTTCCCCAGACACCTCCCACCGCTCTCCCAGGACTTGGCATTACCTTGAATGCTGTTTGCCTTCACTAGATGGGCACAGTCTATCAAAACTTCTTTAGGAATGTCATCTACCGTCTGCCCCTGTGACAGAGCAAGGCAAAGTGAGGGGGACCTGTGGGCAGAGGGAGGCCAGGACATAGGGCATGATACTCTGCAAACACAGCCAGGACCTTAATGCTCCACATTTTACAGGCCTGGAGTTCTCTATGGAACTTTAAAGAGGCTCAAAGTACCACAAGCCATGTGCACCTTGCTTTTCTCAAAGGTTCTCTCCCCGTTTCAGTGGGATGATGGTTCCTAAACACACACTTGGTGTCAATCCAGAATCAATTGTTCTGTTGGGCCATGTGAAACCTACCACTCCTCCCCCACACAACTTAGTAATTATGGAATTGTTCAGGTTGGAAAAGAACTTTAAGTCCAACCCTTAACCCAGCTCTGCCAAGGCCACCACTAAACCATGTCGCTCAGCACCACAGCTACACGGCTTTGAAATCCCTCCAGGGCTTTCCCCTCCAGGGGACTCCACCACTGCCCTGGGCAGCCTTGGCCAGGGCCTGACAACCCTTGCCAGGAAGAAATTGTTCCCAATATCCAATCTAACCCTCCCCTGCCACAACTTGACGCCCTTTCCTCTTGTCCTGTTGCTTGTCCCTTGAGAGAAAAGACTGATACCCCTGCGCTCCAATGTCCTTTCAGGGACTTGTAGAGAGTGAGAAGGTCTCTCCTCAGCCTCCTTTTCTCCAGGCTGAACACCCCCAGTTCCCTCAGCTGCTCCTCATCACACTTGTGCTCCAGACCCTTCCCCAGCTCCACTGCCCTTCTCTGGACACGCTCCAGACCCTCAATGTCCTTCTTGTAGCAGAAGCTGTAAATTCAGCATCCCCACACCAGTGGTTACCTGTACCCTGAAGGGATCCCTGCAGACAGAAGTCACTGCAGAATGGGCATGTGCAGTTCTTACATTTAAAAACATTAATATTCACCTCATAAGTGTCACAGGATTACCTTGTGCAGTCGAAGATACACATGAGCAGAAGAGAGCTTATCCACATGGAACCTATGTAATATAGAAAAGCATATTTAACAGAGGGTAAGGGAAAGATTGGAAAGATTTACTGTTTGGCAAGATTTACTTCACAACAAGAGAGAAAACAGCCACTCCAGGGACAACAGAAGTATAGAAATGTTCATGACATACACATTCAAAAGCAGGCAAGGGAGCCAGAGACCTCAGGAAACACCCATTCTCCATGGGAGACTGAGAAAAGAAAACCTCTCTTCCCCTCCTTTTTTCTCTTTTACACACTGCAGGACGAGCCTGTGCAGGCAGTGGTTTGTCTATTTATTATTAAGAGAAAGGGCAAACTGGTGAACTCTGCAGCAGGCATTGCTACAACACTCAAGCTCACAGAGCAGAAAAACCCCCTAATTTCTCCTTTTTCAACTACTAATAGTCCACGGAGCCCAGCTCTCTGCCTCCAACAGCCGGAACAGGTGATGCTTCCTGAGGAGTGCACTGGATTCTGTGGTTTCAAGGGGTATCACTCTTGATAACTGGTGAACGCCAGCTCTGCGTTCTCTTCACTCGTGGTCTTCAAGATTATAGAAGCCTGGATCGCTCCCAAGCCCCCTCCCCTGCAGACTGAAGAGTTTTCTCCTTCCCAGTCCTTACAGCATTGCTGTTCCTCGCTGGTTCGTGGCACCCTCTTCTGCACCTTTTCTCTCTTGACTTTTTTTAAGCCTCTGTTCTGATAAACACTCACTCCAATCCTGCAAACTTTCAATGGTAGAGCGGGAGTACTGATCTCATGTTACCTCCCAACTTTCTTTTTAATGTAATGGGACTTTTCCTTTCTGCTGCAGGACAGAAAACCAACATGTGAACTCTCCCTTCTACCTCCAGAGCCTCCTACCCTGATTCCACTGGACCCCTCTTAAGTAGAAGTAAGTCCAAAAGGTACCAGACACCATAAGATCAATTCCCAGAAAGCCTCTGCAAGAGTACCTATGATATTTTCTTGAGATGGCACTAGGATACAAAAGCCCCCAAGGATTATGTCAGTTTTGAGCTACAAGAATCAAAAGAGATGAGGACGGATGACTTCAATGGGCCAGGCAATTTGAAGGTGAATCTCAAGGTCACTCCTAAGTAACAGTCTAACTGTACCTTAAATTATGCAGTGACAGGGAAAACATGAGACAGAAAATGAATATGATACCACTGCAGCAGTGTTACTCAGCTGAAGTACAATCTCTTCTGCTAAAAAGAAAAATAATATTCCCTTGCCAGTAAGCTGAGTGCTGACAAAACATCTTCTACAAACATGTCAGCTGCTAGCTATTCAATCTCCAGCTGTACCAAGACACCTCAGCTCATCCTGGGAAAGGCCACCTTGAAGAGTGAGAAGGAACATAATCCACATGGTGATTCTGGCAAACTCCTCCATAAAACTTGTCAGTCTGGAAAGTTTCTGAACTAATCCAGACATCAAAGATGCCCCTGATTACTGCCAATGGGTTTGGGAATTTCCCTTCTCTTCTTTAAAATTTTACAAGCTAAAACCAACCCACACGTGTCAGAGTGCTTCCATTTCCCTGCAGAGAAACCCCAAAGAGCTTCAGGAAGGGGCCCAAGCAGGGCATGGAGGGGGAATTGCAGGGGAAGGGATTCAGAATCAGAAAGTCCCAACAGCTCCACCCAGGTTTGCTGCAATCCACCTGCACTCTGGAATTTCATCTAAACTATTGAATGGCCTTGGCAAAGGGGGAATTTATGGAGCCTGTGAAAGTAAGAGGGTAATTACAATCACTTGACTCAGATGCATAATGAAAGGTAATTTTTTTAGAGTGTTTCAGCACCTACCAGATATCTTCAGGCCAGCCGTACTTTATTAGATCTTCATCTGTAGGAAGAAAAAGCCATCAATGAGCAAAGCCCAGGACCCCACCAATAACAAGTACCTGTCAAGAGCAGGAATCATGGACACAAAATTGTTTTGGTTAAAAAGACCTTTAAGATCTTCAAGTCCAGACATTACCCAGCACTGCCAAGGCCACCACTAAACCATGTCCCTCAGCACCACAGCTACACGGCTTTGAAATCCCTCCAGGGATGGGGACTCCACCACTGCCCTGGGCAGCCTGGGCCAGGGCCTGACAACCCTTTTGGGGAAGAAATTCAGTGAATTCTCCACTGGTGGTCAGTCACTACGTGGTGACTGAGCAGAAAGATGAGAGGACTGTAACTACTTGCAGGTGTGCCAGAAACACCTCCATCATGATAAGATTTTGATATTTGAACAAAACATGTAAATTTCAATCTAATGAAGGGGCAGAAATGATTATCAGGGCAAGCTAAAACTTCTTCCTTGGAGTTTCTGACTTCCCTTGTGTGTGTCCCCAGGTTTCACATTAGCTACTGAAGTTGAAACAGAAAGAGCAGCAGAACCTTCACCCAACACTGAGAAGGGAAAATACAGACTGAGCAGAGAGAAAAAAGGTCAGTTTGCAAAACGTTATCAGACACAATGTGATAAACAGTATTTTTTTCAGCTAATTTAGCTTTCACTTGTGTTTGCAAGCAGTTACTCTGCCTAGAGGATTGCAAAACTTATTTATTCTAACTAAACGCACAATGGATTCCAAAGGGTAACTCAAAATCACTTGCAAGGGTGGAGAAGTTTTCAAAGCATAAATCAAATTAAGACATACAAAGACATCCTTTCAAACTGACCTTAAATTCCCCCCAGTCTAAATCCAAGCCTTTAGGCACCATTACATCAATGTACTTACTTTCATACTTATCTTTTCCCATGTAAATGGTGTAAACAGAAGGAGCAACTGAGGGATAGAGAGAGAAAAACAAATCAAAAAGGGGTTGGACAAACTGTGTGAGGAATGACACACACACCAGTCCTGGTCATAGAAATTCAAATGATAACCATCCATCCCACTGCCCCTCTGGAAGATTGTTTTGTTTCTCCTCCAGATTTTATCCCTGAATGCTTCAAAGGACTTTAGAAAGTGGCATTTCCATTGAAAATTATCCAGTGAGGACCAGCTTTCTGGGCAAAACACCCTCAACACACAGGTGGTGCAGAGCGTATCTGTGTAATTGGACAATCTGTTCAATTAAGTGCATCTCTGTGAGTCAAAAAGGCTGACACTGTATTTACAGCTTGGGTGGCCTCGAGGGAAACAGCTCATCTGATAGCATGAAAATTAAGGACTAAGACCAAATAAATAAAATGCAGGTGTTCAAATCTGCCCTCAAAAAGCACATAGGGAAACAGGGTCTCTAATATAATATTTTAAAAGTCATTAAAATAGTCAACACACTTCATTTACAAGCTACAACTCCAGCAGTGAAATGACTTGGATCCCAAACTCCTTTACAAACCAGTTCTTTTGGAGGATGTTTTTTATTAGAAATTCAACATCACAAGCACAAAGCCCAGACACCACTTTTCAGTTCAGTGATGAGGTAATAAGAATGGAAATTAAAAAACAGGAAAGGATTATATGCCTATGGGAGTTAAAGGTGGAAAGAAATCCACCCTGGGCATGTAGGAGAGTCCAGAGAATGTGAGAACGTTGTGACTGCAGGCACTGCCTATTTGCTTAAAATGTGATGCTCAAAAATAAAGTTGTATAATGGTGGTTCTGTGAAAATAAGCCCATCCTACCAGAACTTTGGGGGAACACTAACATAGCCAAAAATGAGATTACTTAAATCTGTTATGATTTAACACACACCAGTAACAGTGAAACACACTTTAGGCAAAATCTTCCTATTGCAGACCTCTCTGACATTCAAAACACATCAGAAACCCTCTGCAAAACTATAATTTTAAAACAAAAGGAGACTGTTCACATCATTAGGGGAGTTGACTGCAGTTTGTCTGCTCCTAGGACCCCCCGTGTTAATCCATGTGACTGCCAGGCTCTTCTCCCCATGCAAAGGGCCATGCCCAGGAAAGTCTGTGAACAAGTGATCAGCAGAACAAGTTTCCCTCTGAGTGTCAGATTTAGAGATCAACACAGCCATTGTATCTTTTCCAAGGGCCTGACTTTCCACAACGAAGGAAAAAGGTTTTTAAACAAATCCCAAGAAGAAACGTACTTAAGAAACACCTACAAGGCTGTGAAGTCTTGCCTTGTCCAAGGGAAATCAAGCGGCCACTTGAACCCTTCTCATTGAGGTTCATCATCTCTAGAGCTGAGGAAAATGATCATAGATCATAGAATGGTGAAGGTTGGAAGGGACCGTAAGAAGATCATCAGGTTCCAACCTCCCTGCCATGAGCAGGGACACCTCTCACTGGACCAGGGGCTTTGTCTCAGCACGAGGGAGACACAGACTAAGCACCAACCCCACACAGGAAAACAGAATTGTACATGTCCTCACCCAGACTTGCAGAAATGCATCTGGTTTGCAGCTCCACCAAACAGGTGGAGGGAAACATGATGATATTTCATGCACCTGTGTGCACAAAGGCATCATTTGCAATAACAATCAGCATCAAAAACACCTGTCAAGACTCCCTGTTAAACCAAGGCATTCACTGGGGTATTACAAGGTTCAGCACTGGTAGATGAAATGAAATACTGGTTTGTGGGTACAGAGAGCAAAGAGTAAAAAACATATAGAAACTTCTGAAAGGAAAGTATACACTGGAGGCAAAGCAAAAAGGAACATTCCTGTATTGTCCCCCAGATCATCAGCCAACACTGAAATCACTTCAGATCCTTCAGAAGCAGCCAACCTCTCCGCACGGGCAAGCAGGAGAGGTGTGTCTATACCGAAAGAAAACCAACGGCACGACCGACGCTTTTCCTCAATCCTCTGACGGCCCTAAACTCGGGAAACCCTTCCCGAAGCCGCCGCCGCTTCCCCCTCACGGCTGCCGGCACGCGCGC